AACTGTAGGTATTAATAAGTCAAATAAAAAACGTCTTAATAATGAAAATACACACTAACTTTTTTAGTCGAGTTCACCCCAAGCAAAGCATTAAATCCACGAAGATAAAACAGAAACATTACTAAGACGTGAGAACAATAGAAGAATAACCAGGAAGACTGTAGATAACGATGGACATTGCATTTAAATTTTTGAGGATCAAATTTGGCTTGAAAGCAAGAAGCCGGAAGAGAGGTTCACAAAGCAAAAATTGAGCGAGAACAATAGAAAAGCAATCAGGTAAACAGTAGATAACGATGGCCATTGCATTTACATTCTTGAAGAACAAAGTTGACTGGAAAGCAAAAAGCTGGAAGAGAGTTTCACAAGCTAAAATTGAGTGAGCAAAATAGAAGTGTAATCAGGAAGACAGTAGAAAAAAATGGACATTGCATTTAAATTTTTGAAGATCAAAGTTGACTGGAAAGCAAGAAGCCGGAAGAGAGTTTCACGAGCTAAAATTGAGTGAGCACATTAGAAGTGTAATCAGGAAGACAGTAGATAAAGATGGACATTGCATTTAAATTTTTGAGGATCAAATTTGGCTGGAATATTTGGGATTAATCTATGTGTTATATATTTTAAATAACATGAGGCTATGAATTTAGCCGTTTTCTTTTAATTTTTTAAAACATTTTTAGAGTCATTTATGTTAGCTTGGGAAAGGAGTAATTCTTTTAGGAAAGGAGATAAAAAATGTTAAATCTTAAAAGAAAGCAGTTAACTAAGACACAAAGAATTACTGGCGTGAATGAGAAAACATTATTAAAGAGTGAAAACAGTAGAAGAGTAATCATGAAGTCTGTAGAAAAAGAATAACCAAAAAAGAGAAACTTCTGTTATTCCCATTAAATCATTTCGATTTCATAGTTTTGTTGCATTGCTTAGAGTGAAATGACTTCTTTTTTTTAAAAAGGGATTTATAAAAATGTCCGGTATTAATTATTGGTTTCTTCTTATAACCCAACTTTTTATAGTAATTTATGTTAGCTTTGGAAAGGAGTAATTCTTTCACGAACGGAGATCTTTGAAAAGGTTTGGGGCTCTGATTTATATTTTGATAAAATTCGGTGACGGAACTCTCAAGAATTTTCCGTCTAAGTTAATAAGCGTAACATTCTTTAAATCGAAGTTCTGGTTGAATTGTGTAACTAATGCACTTGGTGAATGGTTGTGTTTAATATCATTTTTGTGGTCATAGATCAGCTTTTTTAAATTTCTGCAAGTTTCCCCGATGTATTGTGAAGAGCAGTTGTGACAGTTTATTTTATATATACCCGCATCACAATTATCATTGTTTTGGATATTCATAAGAATATACATGCATTTTAAACGTTATTTTTAGTGGATACTCATATTTGAATAGACGATCGGTTTATTTATTAAACAGTATATTAATTTCGTTTACCGGCTGTTTCATAAGTAAACGGAGCATTTACTCAAATGTAAGTATCCAGTAAAAATAACGTTTAAAGCGATAGAAATATACATGCATGTATATGTGTATATATATTTATTGGCTTTTTTGTGGATTTTATATACAACTAATTCTTATTTTCAAACTAATCAAACCATCTGTCCCTGATAAGCAATGTTAGGCGAAACTCTGGAGTGGGTCAATGAGATAAGGCCGTTGCACATTTGCTAGTTATCTATTGAGCACTTTTTTTTTGAGAAAGACTCTGCGGTTTTTAAAATTACGTTATATTTTAGTAATATGTAGGTATTTTGATTGTTATTATTATTATTATTATCATTGATGCAAATGTAAGAATCTCACTCAGTAATCGCTAACTGCAATTAAGTCTCTCTTTACACGCACACACACATACACGTGTGAATGTATGTTTGTGTGTGTATGTGTATATGTGTGTGTGCGTCTGTGTGTGTAAGCATTCTCCATTAAAATGTCGTTATTAACGGTTGAAGTTCTAAAAAGTGTATGGCTAATTAAGCAGATGTCGGATAGGGGTCGATAAAACGATGTCGGGTGCAATGAGGAATTTGAAGGCTTGTTAGGTCGGCAAGAACACAGATGATGGCATGGTGAGATCTTCAAAGACTTGTGCCTTAATGACAACAGCGTGTGAAAAAAGCGAAAAAAAATACTGACTGATGCTGGGAGTTGTTGGGGAAGAGAGATGGCGTGAAAAACTATAGCGGTCTACATCTTGACCAATCGTAGACAAAAATGATATTGACAACAAAGAGGAAAATAAACGAGATTCAGGGGTAGAAATAATGTCCCCTAATTACACCATAGACCTCAAGCACACCACAGAAATATTGTTAGTAGGTGTTTAACCGAAAATCCGTAATATGGTAGGAGAATAAAGTGCGTGTTCCGCGCTCAATTTAATATCTTTGCTGATGAGACAACCATTGGCGACTGCCCCCCCTCAAAAAAATAAACTGTCAATTTAGTATCCATGCTGATGACAAACATTTACTCCTGACTAGATTGTCAGTCTGACCAGTTCGATAAGGTTAAAACTATTAATCATCTGAGAGACCCCTTTCAGCCTTCCATCACAATGGCCGATGCTAACCTCTGTCTTAGACTCTTTGCGTCTAATCTGGCTAACATTTTCGGCTGACATTAAGTGGAAAGATTATATTGAATCCATAGCTCGGTCTGATGCTAAGAAAGTTAGGTCACTGTTTCATGCTAGACAATCTTTCTCTCCAGAATCTATTTTACATATCTATATGTCTACCATTCGTCCATTCTTTAAATATAGCTGCCACATCTGGCCCATTGCTCCTGCTATATATTTAACGATTCTTGATACAATCCAAAGAAGAATTAGCAATATTGTTGGTCCTGATCTGGCCTCTCGGCTTGCGTCACTTTAAATACTTTCATGGTAGTTGTTTGGCTGAGCTCTTTTCTATGGTATATTAAATTTATGAATTTAAGCGCATTCCTAGATTGGCAGCAAGGTCAACTGGAAACTGATGAAATTTATAATCGAACTGGCTAGATGTAACTGTTCTATGCTAGCAGTTTATTTTCTCGCACTTCTCTCTTGTGGAACACTTCCTGTTTCGAACCTTTCCAGTCAACTTTGATCTTCAAAAATTTGAATAAAGTGTTAGTCGTTATCTACTGTCTTCCTGATTACACTTCTTGATATGTCCCGGAAAGGGATATAATTGTCCGAAGTAGCAAAGTGGTTTTGGACTACTGTAACCGAGTAGAACAATCTAGCAGGTAACCGTAATGGACTGGTCCTCGTCGTAGTGGTAGGCAATAGACGTAGGCAATAGGCGAAGACGATAGGCATCGTCCCTGTACCTCCACATCAGTCTGTATTTATGTCTGACACCAGCCAATCATATTACTGCGTATGCATATTCATTACATCACTTCTATTGTTCTTGCTCCTTAAAAATGTTTCCCTCTTTTACTTGTTCTTCCAAACTCAGTAACCTCTTGTGTCTTCGTGGCTTTTCTCTGCCTTGCATAGGATGAATTCGACTAAAAAAAAAAACCCCGAAGTATCAAGTTAGTTCGACTCCATAAACATTTTTTCTATTGATACATCTCAGCGTAGGCCCTATGGATTTATTTTAGATCTCTTTTTTTTTTTTAAGTGGGACGTCGATACGTTCTTAAGCTGTATCCTATTAGCAGGCCACGGGCCCTATGGATTAACCCTAGAATTCTCTTTTAAAAGTTGGAGCTCGATGCATAAATAGGACGGAACGATCAAACAGGTTCGGCTCCGTAAGCATTTTCCCTCCCGGTACGCTGCTGGCCCTATGGATTTATTGTAGCAGACTTCTATTTTTTAGTGGCATTTCCATGAGTACATAGGACGAAGGACTGTTACGGTTTTTTTGGGTATATCGTATATAACTAGTGAGCGAGTCAGAATGACTTATTTCCCTTTATAGTCGACCAATAGAAGGTTGACCAATCAGAAGCCGCACAACACTGTATTCGTCGTGTATAAAGGCGGCCATCTTGTTTCCTCTACCGGAATGACCAAAGGCAACCAGAAGGATGAACTACACTCTGCTGTGATATCCACTGCGAACCTGCACTACGCTTTCCTACTGTCTCCGAAATATTCACTGCCAACCTCTGGATTCTATACTCGAGGACGACCGTCATGAAAATGTCTAACAAGGACAACATTCTGAAGGAAAAAAAAAAACAAACAAAAAAAAAACACTGTACTAACGGTAGATTCAGAAAATATGCTGTCCTGTTATTGTTACAAACCAAAAACTTAAGCAGTATATAGTAAATACAACATATTCAATTCATTGTTGTGAAATACGCAATTATTTTCCGAACAGTTTAAAAGATGATAAACTAATTCTAGACGGAGTTTCGTACTATTCGGACTTGGTTGGTTGATTCATAATTCATAGCTGTGAAATAGGCAATTACTTGACGAACAATCTAATAAAAGATATAAGAAACCAATTTTAGACACAGTTTCGTACTATTCAACTTTGGGTTCTGCCTTGGTTGGTTGACTCATAATTCATAGCTGGGAAATACGAAATTACTTCCCGAACAGCGTAAAAGCTGAGAAACTAATTTTAGACGCAGTTTAGTGACCATTCAAGAATGCTTCTGCCTTGGTCGGTCGATTCATAGATTTATAGCGATGAAATACACAATAACTGTCCATATAATCTAATAGACGATAAATTAATTCTAGACGCAGTTTCGTAGTATTCAACCTTGGGTTACGCCTTGGTTGGTCGATTTATAATTCGTAATTCATCGCCAGGAAATATGAAATTACTTTCCGAATAATCTATTAGAAGAAATAACAAACTAATTCTCGATGCAGTTTTCTAACATTTAAACTTGGTTCTGATTTGGTTGGTCGGCTCATAATTCATGGCGGTCAGATAAATAATGGCTTCCCAAATACCTAAAGATAAAAATTGTTGAACCAGACGCAGATAATTCAGACAAAGGCTTATAATCGCATTACGTTGAAACATCGGCTACCGTACGATCACAGATGTTAAGCAGCGTCGAGCTTGGTCAGTACTTAGATGGGTGACCGCTTGCAATGACCAGGTGCTGTACGCTTGGATGTACGGGTGGTGTAATAAATAATGGCTCGGAATTGTTAACTGGAGAACTGAATTTCAATTCCAGTTGGGTTCGTTACATACATTGACGCGCAAAGACCCTTGGGAAATGTATGAATCCACCTCTTCTCCCTCCAGCTATGGGTTAATTAGTAAGACTTATATCACTAAATCATTATTATAAAACCTCTTAAAATCCAAAAATATATTCTGGCTTTAAATACCCTGCAAAGGGTTGATAAACCGTAGAAAATGAATGAATCAATGAAATACTGATTAGTAACATAGGCATTTCTTTTAGATTTATTTACATTCGCTAAAATATAAATGTATCGAAACTATTGTGGCCACGAAGTGAGGGATCATTTTATATACGGATCCTAATATTGAATTGATCCCCCACTTTATATTTGCATTATAAGTTTATGTTTATCAAATTCTGTTTAGGTATGAATCAACCTCATCTCACTGTCTATATGGGTTAAATAGTAAGACTTCTATCATTAAAACATTATTATCTCAAAAAACTTCATATAATTTAAAATATTTTCTGGCTTTAAATAACATGCGATTGGTTGATAAACCGTAAAAAATGAATCAATTAATTAATGTACTGCCCAAAATTAGTTTAAGCCTTTTAAGAATGATGATTTCTCTTTAGAAATCTAACATTTATTTTAAAGGCCAAGTCCCTTCTGAATTGAGGCGATCATGGCTCTCTACAGCGTCCTTTTCATTGTTATTTCATTTGAGCATTGTTAAGGGTGCTGACTTGTCCCTTGAAATGAACCGTAGAAGTGGAATAACTCTAGTCGTTTATTTTTAAAGCTCATTTTTTTATCCCACGTTTCCTCAGGCGATCTCTGACACTCAACAACTTCCTTTATCTTTATTACTTGTGAATTGCCATGGTTTCTTGGGAAAGATAAAGGAGTAGTTCCCCGTTGCCTTTTTTATGATTTGTACTTATTTTTCTCTTTAGGGTGTAGGCATTCATGGCCCTCTACAGCTTCCTTTTTCATTATCGTTTAAGGACGGTGATTTGTCCCTTGAAATGAGCCCTAAAATTGGACGACCACGAAAGGTTGGAGAGAATTCAATCACAAGCTTTGGAAACTTTACTGATTTAACAGGATCATCTAAAGTCGGCTATTGCGGAAAAATAAAATAAATAAATATAGGGTGCGATGGGTAAATTGTCTTCATTTTCTATTTTTAATTTCTCGCTTTGTCCCGGCTTTCCTGCATCAAAGGGTTAAGGTTTAAAAATTGGGTTGAGGTTTAAAAAATTGCGACAAAACGTGAGCAAAAAACAGCAAGATTAGAGCGGACAAACTCTCTCATTTTAGGCGCGCACGAATAAAGAAAAAAACTCCTGCTCGGTGAGTAACGATAAAAGAAGAAAGTGCTTATTTACATATACAGAAAAAAGGGTAAAAGAGATAAAGACAATTCAGAGTGAAAGAAAGGGAAAAGAGAAAATGTCTTTTAAAGAAAGAGAAATGTTCAAAACAGAAAAAAAAGGCTTGTTCAAAATATTTCTCTGAGCGCCTAAAGAGTTCTTTAAGCGATTAGAATATTGTTAAGGTTCAGATAGAAACACTCACAGTTCTTGTAGAGTAGGAAAATTGTTCGTAGATATAGGAATCCTGCAGTTGAGCGAGTTCGTAGGTCGACGACAGAAGTCCAGTGGGTACGTCAGAAGGAATGGTGAAGGAATGCAGCTTTGAATTGGTCTTGACTTGCGGACCGACGTTCATTCTTGACAGACCTTTAGTAGGTAGTTCTTTGGTTGAAAGAGGTTCTGGAGTTCCTTAATGTCGCCCTCGCAGACGGTGGGCAGGATTCTCACTTTGATTTAGTCGAATGCACAGTATAGTAAGGTCAGTTAAGGCACTGTCTGTGAGAAAAGTCACACCATGATGCAATACGTTCTGCCAAAAATTCTGGAAACTGAATTCTGTCCTGCTTGGCATTTACACCGGAAGATCCAATACAGACATTCCAGACTGCTTGGGTGCCAATCTGAGGACAGTGCAGAGGAAGAGTTCGATGAGTCTAATGGTGATTACGGAGGTCTTTGGAGTATTCACTGGTGATGGAGAAGCTTTGCCTTCAATCATCCTTCCACAGAGTCTTAGAATCAACATAGAGGCCTACATTAAATACCACGAGAAGGTAGTGCTGACCTGTGTCAAGAGGCTGGCTGCTGGAAGACCCATTTTCTGGCAACATGCCATTCAATCACGAGAAACCAGTCATGGCTTTCAGACAATTTCTGTGACCACATCACCCCTTACATTAGATGACCTAATTCTCCAGACTGTAGCATCCTTGATTATTATGCGTGGGGTGCAGTTAAGCGAGAAATGAAAAAAAAACTCCTTGTAACACCAAAGATGAAATGAAGGCAAGGTTTATGGCAGCATTCACCAACTTAAACAAGGAGACCATCCAGAAGAGTTGCAGGGGATTCCAAAGTTGTCTGGAGGCAGTGGTTGAAGCCAATGGCGATTTTATTGAATAAATTTAATGTTTAGCATTTCAAGACATTTTTGTTTAATTTTGGTAAATACATCTTTTAAAATGAGATGTCAGTGTTATTTTCATTTTTGCATTATTTAGACGACAATTTATCCATCGCACCCTGTATATCTGTGAAAATGATGTGTCAGTGTTATTTTCACTTTTAATAATTTAGACGACAATTTATCCATCGCACCCTGCATATCTGTGAAAATGATGTGTCTGTTATTTTCATTTTTGCATCATTTAGACGACAAGTACAATACACACCTGTCTTTCTAGAAATAAATAAAAAACGAAAATATTTTTTGATACAAACCTAATACAGTTTTACCGCCCTATGAAACAGCGTCTCTTTCTGATTTTCTGTATAAGTGTCCTTTTTAAAGAGACTGTTGAAATTTCTTGGAAACTTCTTGAGGAAAGAAAGGTTTAGGGAAATTGATGCTCACAGTGCATCAAAATCAACGTAAGAATTCAGCGGACTATTTACCTGGTGAGCTTGTGTGAATGGATGCTGGGATAGGGATAAGAAGCTGTGGAGAGCCATGATCACTGTTGTCCTGAAGAGACACGGCACATAGAAGAAGAAGAAGTAGCGTAGCACCTTTGACTTTCTGTAATTCAGCCACCCACATGACTCAAAACACATTCATCAGATTACCACATGTTCATATATATATATATATAGTCATCCACATATATATATTCATATATATATTTAGTCATATATATATATATATATATATATATATATATATATATATATAGTCATATATAGTCATCCACATACAAGCTCGTTTCGCTGTATCGCAGCTCATCAGTGTGGCTAGACATCCAATGGCTTCAAGCCGGGATCGAAACCCGGCCGATCTGGCATTAGTCAGAGATTCTAAACGAATGGTAATCCGATATATAAACAATATATATATTAACAGTCTTCTGTTATGTATCCCTACAGGCCAACAGGACCTGTGCGAAATTCACATTGTGGGGTCTGGAGTTCTGTGTACATAGCTTTTTGTTAATGAAAGCGTGAAGACAGTTGAAGCGAGAAATGTTGTGAGCTTCGACTCAAACAGCCGAACTAATTAAAGAATGTACCAAAAATAAAAGCGTAAAATTGAACTCATGTAAGCAAGAACACAAGAGTTCCTTAAAATGTTAAGATTTCTTCCGGGCGGGAATATCATTATACCTTTAAGTGTGTATATATATATATATATATATATATATATATATATATATATATATATATATATACACACTCAAGATCATGCAAAATATTGTTTTTACTTAGAAAAATACAGTTGATGTGATGTGTGTAATTAAAAGTAATAAAAATAATAATATAAAAAATTTAACACGAGCGGAAAGAGGCCGCTTAAGTTAACGTAGTTGCAACGCCATCTTTTGACATTACATATAGTAAACAATATTTTACATGAAGAATAAACGTTCCAACTTCTTCCTAGAATGTAGCAGGCATTTTTGTGCTAATGAAACGTTACAAAGCCATGTACGAGGGCAAGTCAAGAATTATCCGCTCTTTCGCCATAACATATCTTTAGTTTTGTTTACACTGCCTTTTACTCATGCCGTGCTTATATTAAGTACTATTGTAATCGCGTGATCATCTTTTGAGCTTGATCGCGCCAGTTTTTCTTGGTGCTGTTACAGTGTAAACATGGCCGCTTCGCTAGTAGTATTCACCAAGGAGGAACAATTGTTTTAAAAGTTTATTCATAGAGCAAGAATGCTCAATACCCTAAATTATAAATATTTTTAAAAAAATATGATTCCTTCGCTACATAAGAGTTCTCATGTTTCAAAAATCGTTTTGTCAATAACACTCTGTCGCTGAAACAGACTAGACGATATGCGTCTAGTGAATGTAATCATTCGCTTTAAAATAGACACCCCGACCCTATCTTGACTTGACCTCTTTCGAAAGTAACTAATATGTTGATACCAATTGTTAACCCTTACGACCATTATTGAAATAATTGCTTCAGTCGTTTCCATAGTAATTAATTTTAGGAATGAATATGCTTATAAAGCTGCGTAAATTTCAAGATTATTTATTCCACAAATTTCGCTTGGGGATGAAACAGACCTTGATACTTTAATTCAAATTAATCTTAATAATTATATTGAAGTTTTTGGCTCCTGATTTTGAAACATGAGAACTCTTATGTAGCGAAGGAATCATATTTTTAAAAATAATTATATATATATATATATATATATATATATATTTATATATCGGAGGACGAATATTTTCTGTGAAAATTTCTCGGACATTCATGACGGTAAATGTTGTTTAATACTGTTTATTATAAACAGAACATTTACTTAAATATTTGTATCTATAAAAAGAATGTATAAACATAAAATGTCTTATATATATATATATATATATATATATATATATATATATATATAAGTCTCAATATCGGTTTTAGCTTT